CAGATACTGAGTTATTGCTGTGATAAATAAACTTACATTAAGATAAATGTAACTGATTGCAGCGTAGCTCCATAGAATTCTTTGTGTCCTGGGTGGCATGGTAATTTAGTTTCTCCTATAGATTATACAGTTTGTAGTTTATTATTACATTATATTTGTATAATTTAACTTAAAGATATATATACATATTTGATTTGGAAAACCTATGTGTTTACAGCACCACTAAGGCGCTTTTTTATGATCCTGTATACGCAAAAAGTGATGATGAAAAAATTATATTTGACACAGACCTTTTACAATTACAGTCTACAAACCTATTCATTCAACAATAGTCTGAAACTATTTTATTATATTTAACTATAATTCTTTCTAGTCTGATTGTTGTCTCTTTTGATGTGAGTAAAGTGTGCTATAGGGGCAGGCACAGCTCATCCTTATAGAGCAGAAGCCCACTCACTCTTTTTGCACTTTGTTCCAGTCTGTGGCTTAACAAGAGGCTGGTGGCAGATAAAACCTACAAAAGAACAACAGGCCAATCAGTAACACTTGTTGCACCTGAAACATGGAAATGCTCTACATCCAAGTGTTGTGTGTGAAAAGAGACAGATTGTCTAGTAAAAGCAGAGTGGAATATGGATAGGTTCAACCAACTGTGTTCAATCGCAGTCAGGACAAATACTGTTATGAGGCGCCAGAGCGTGAAGGAAATTCATTTGTAAATTGCTCCCGATCTTTGAGAGAAATTGTTTCTTTTTCAAATTCAGATGTAAAGCCTTTGTGTCTGTTTCTGAGGCCAACGCAATAAATCCCATTGTATTACAGTGGAAAGCACAAATATATATCTGTATGAGACAACTGAGACATATTATATAAATAACTGTATGTGAGTAATAACCCAATGCTTGTTAACATCCCTTCAGTTGATTTAATGGCAACTTCATCTCCATAAAACAGCTGGAGGAAGTGTCTAGGGAGGTGGAAGTCTTTGCCTATAATCCTACACTCTTCTTGTGAACACATCCATATCAGTGCATGATAATGTTGTTTCTTTATTTTATTATATTCCCTTGTTATTTATGCTATTAGATTTCCCTTTGTCAGTGCAAAATCAGGGTCATTTTTCATACAAATTTGCATTCATGAGTTTCCTGAAAAAGTCCACTGAGTTTGAATAAAAAGTGACTGGACTTAAAATCTGCTGCATTGCACAATAACATGAATCTGACTTATTAATACTGTGAGGGTTAAGACTGGAAAAACAAAAAGTTTGGAAGCTACTACTACTACTATTTTAACAAAGTCTCTCAAGCTATTTCAGCTAGCTTACACTGCAGCAGATCAGGCACCTCCCTCCCTTAGACCCTCTGGTAATCACTAACAAGAACTTTGATCCACTGACCCATCCAATTACTTTTACAATCAAAGCAAGTGGTTTCAAGTGTACTACGCCGGATATTTCCAGGAACGGCCATTCTTGACACTTGTGTTTGAATGAAGGCAGCGGATCACACGGGTGCAAATAAAACATACACAATCCTTGGTTTTAAAAGTATTTATATCACACTCTATAGCACCAAGTTTCACTTACACTTGAGAAAACATCAAGGCCAAAGCCGAATTACTGTATTTAGCCAGAGTTTGATAACAATCCTCTTCCTGCGGTGTGGATTTTGCAGGAAGCAGACCGCACACTGACCTCTGACCCCAGCCTCTTCTGAACCAGCAACATCAAATCCACTGTGCACTAAAGACCCCTAAAGGCAGCTGCCCAAACACTTACAGCAAAGGAAATCGAGACTTGCCGTAATAGCAAAAAGAGGATATGTTAAGGTTAAAGGTAGTGTAATGGTCAGCAGATCGCTAATGGAGCAAGACTGACAGTCATACACGGGTATTTATATTACAGAAATAGCGAGTGCATTCACAGAAATCAATTAAAAAAAAAAAAAAAAACATGATATTTTTCTACCACTGTTTGATTTTTTGGAAGACTGGCTGGAGTTCTACGTAGTGATCAAAGTGTTTAACCCATTACGTGAGACAATGATAATGATGATTAAGAGTTTCCATAGTTGTCAACATGGTGGCAAAGGTCACCCTCACAGATGTACATTCATTTTGTTCTTATTTTAATCTGACATATAATTATTTTACATTTAGTTAATTCTAATTCTGTTTTAACTGTGAGTGTACATTGGATTTCCATCTGCCCCAGTGTCACTCTAAATGCTTACACAGCACTGAACTCTAGGTATATCTCAATTTTTTGGGGGAAAAAAGATTACAGAGTAGCGGATGTGCATAAGGGGTCTGTGAAAACTAGACATATGCATTGGCGCTCCGCATGAATCAAAGCAAAAGTAATAGATTATGATTGGGCTTCTTCAGACTATGGAGGGCCACCACAGTCTGCTCTGTTAATGGGAAACAATGGATTTACTTTTGACCAAGTCTTTTTTTTTTAAGTGTTTGGTATTCATAAGATAGTATTTTTTATCCATTCATCAGTTGTAGAGTGTGTGGAAGTTATCAGTTGTGTAATAACAAATGCGGCTTAAGTATAAGGCACATCTTTTCAATGGGGCAGAATCCCTTTAAAAGACCCTAAAATGCCTGTGATGGGTTGACTTTAAGTGAATATCCCTGATCCTCTTATATCTCCTGAATGCTGACAAATGAAAATTAAAACATGGCTCTGAACCAAAAATCAGCCTGAACTCTTTACTCCTCTTTTCCTGGCAAGCCTCAGATCAATTATGAAGGGATATTGACTGCAAACTGTTTAGGGCAATAAAATATCCAAGAGTCTGGAAGCGTGCACAGCTGCTAGGTTGAGTGAACCTGAGCTGAAAATGCTTACTTTGTCTCTTAAACCTTTTGCACTGAAATATTCAAGATGTTTTTTTTTTGTTTGTTTTTTTCAGACAGTCGCTACCATTCAGGCCTCTCGTCATAGCAGAACACAGGGCTAAGATCAGAGCCGTGATGTGTCAAAATAGATTATCCACTATACTACACCGCAGATCTCAATATTGCGTGAATGCGACCCTGTTGAACTCTCAGTTGAAATTTCCATATCCATGAGTGAGAAATAGGAAGGAGGAAACATTTACACAAAACTGCAGCTACGCACTTAAAGAGATCTTTTCAACATAGGTATTTTTTGGTTATTGTGGGCCAAGTAAGCATTGCAAATTTCTAAATGAGAGATTCCCCTCCAAAAAGCAAGTCTTGGGAGGAAGGGTGCAATCAGTCCAGGTTTGTTCCTAGACAACATCACTTCCTTCCTCGCTGGGAGATGGGTGTCATGGCGACGGCATTCAGAGTCTCTACTTTTCACTTTCCCAGGACAGTACGCTCCGCACTTCTAATGGTGTCGATTCAAAGCAGCTGCCATTCTCCGTAAATAAACTAAACGCCTTGCCTAACCGATTCAAACGCCTTCGCAAACGTTACAAAATACAGTCAACAAAGAATGAATCTTTCAAGTGGAGCTATTCATCTGCGAGGGTTTGGTGGGCCATAAGTAGCAGGCAGCTGTAAGGAGAAACGCTACACCTGATATTGTTGCAGATTTACATTTCAATTTACCTGTTTTCCGACTGCCACTGCTACTTAAACCTGCCCTGAGATACCAATTAGAATTGCTTTCCACAGTCATGGAGGTAAAGCTGGAAGATGGCACAGAATTGGTTTTGTAAAATGTTTGCTCAAAAATATCAAAAATACTAAAAAGGGGATGGTATCTGCAAGGGGGTCTGGGATAGAAGTGGGTTTAGTAGTAGTTGTAGTACTAAAAGATATAAGAAGTAGTAGTACAAGTAGAGTAGTAACAGTAGTAGTGGTACAATTCGCAATAGCGGAAACAGTAATATAGTAATAGTAATAAAATATAATAATAACAATACATTTTATTTATATAGCACTTTTCAGGACACTCAGTGACACTTTACAAAACAAATATTAAAATTGTGAAAAAATCAATAGATAAATACTACAGTAAATTAAAGAAAAGGAAAATCATATAGCAGTAGCAGCAGTAGTAGCAGTAGTAGTAGAATTTCATTTCATCCTCAGGAACTAGTATTAGGAATAACAAGGGAGTAGTGTACTTCACAGTAGAAAGGTCATGGCATACAAGCAGCAATGAGTTAAACAAATTACTATTTTAGCATTCTGATTTCACGTTACTATATTTCTTCACATACGCTATGAACAACATGCACTATCAGTATTTAGAAAAGTGAACTTTGTGAGTGAGTGAACTATGACTCACTCACACATCTGTATTTTTTTAGGCAAGGAAGCACAGGGGTTGCTCATTAATTTCAAAAGTTTCTAAACAGGCTCATTAAAGTCTTTAAAGTGTGTCACAGATCCAAGAATACAATGTGCTTCCTTATCGGTTATTTCAAAGGCACAATCAAGTTATAAGTCCACTCTCCACAAAGGCACCAAGAGCTGTTTATCTAGCCACTTCTGCACACCCCCAATACTTCAGCTGTGTTGATGGAAGCAGGCTGTAATTGTATAGAAACTGGAACAATGAAGAGGTCCACAGTGTGCTAGCGGCTTTATAAATGTCACAAAGATTATCCCGAAAGCACTTATAACACATTATTCAGTTCATTTTTTTTCAAATTCTTGCCAAAAATGTTAAAATGGACACTGGAGATTTGTGTGCATTCCTTCATCCGGAAGGGTGTGGGCCCCATCAGTAGAGTAAGACCAGACTAGTGCTGAACATTGTTTAGTGTGGGACAATAACACTTGACGTTTTCTGATGATCTTTGTAAATAATGTCAAATGAGTAGTGATTTTTCAAGTTTATGCAAGTCAAGTTTTGGGTGGTAACTTCGTGTTGAGGAGAAGTTGTTTTTGAAGTAGATTAAAGATTGTGGATAGACAGGAAGGGTCAGGTTGAGGGAAACAGGAAAACTGATGCAAGGAAGCGGCCAACGTCACTAGCCAGCCCACTGCATTGTCTGCTAAAAGTGAAACCCAAATGCCAGCGCAAGTATGGAGTTTCTGCTCAAGTCACCAATGAAACTTGTACTTTTAACAGGTAGGTGGCAATAATATCGATACTATTTTTTTAATATTGAGTTTTGGTAGGAAGAAAAGTTATGCTCTTTTTTTTTTGGCCAGGCAAGTTTTAGTTCTTGAAACAGATCTTGTAGGTTAAAAGTGTTAGCATGCCGTATGGTCAGGGGTAACTACAAAAGGACAACTAAAAGAAAAAAATAAGAGATTCAGTTTTTGTTTGCATTTACTTTCAAAAAAATAAATAAATAAATAAAAAATCAGACTTATTTCATATTAACTGTAATTTATGTGAGGCGTTTTTCAAGTAACATTGAAAAACGTTTGGCAAGTATATAACTTTATATAGCAATAATACTTGACCTAATTGATTATACAAATTTCAAGATTCTTTGAGGGAAAAGTTATTGTGAAATTTGACAATGTAAGCTTTAGGTACTGCAACCGATCAGGCATGCAGGCAAACTTTACCTTGTTAGCGTACCATAGCAAGGATAAAGACAAAAAAAGTTCAAAGCATAACAAAAGGAGAGTGTTTTGTTTGTTTTGTTTTTTGTTTTTTTTTGTCAAAGGTCAACACAGAAAAATATACTTGAAAATGTACTTCAGTACTTTTGGATACTTTGCTATGTAATGTCACCTGCAGAGTAACAATGTTAGCCTTTGGACCAAGTTTGACAGCAAAGATCTTAAAGAGAAAAGTTCAGGTGTAATTTGACAAAGTACGCTCTAAGTACTGAGACTGATCCCAGGTAAGTCTAAACCTGTAGCGTATCCTTCCATGGTAGATTGTACAGATAGAGCAGACATGTCTTCACAGCGTTAAAGGGGGATTTTGCTTTGGGTCACGGTACAAACTTTGATGTCTTGTACTTTTTGTATCTTCCCAGCATGGCTCTCGAGTGTGATGGACCCATGCAGCTCCTCTGACATCTGTGATTCTTGTCACCCACAAGCGTCATGCTCGGCGCACAACGGATCCAATCATGCCTGCTTCTGTAACAGCGGATATACCGGGGACGGGACCAGCTTCTGCATTGGTGAGTCTGAATATAGAGTGCTCCATCAAATCTAAGCAAGTAACATACCTGGAACGAGCCACTGTATAGTGATAATTAATATGCTCATCCTGTTTAAGTTACTAGAATGGACTGTATCACAAGTATAAATAATAAGGTTTAGCACTGTGAATAGGAATTTTAGATTTTTATAATACATCTGTAATGATAATGCCATACAGTGATTATGTAATTGCTGGCCTTCTGGTGATATCTTTAAGGCCACGCAAAGCAATTTTATTTGTATAGCACAATTCGTACACAAAGTAATTCAAAGTGCTATAGAGAGATTATCAGTCCCTTTACGCTCTACTGTGCATGTCTCCTGCAGAAAGAGCAGCTGTCCTGTTTTGTGTCATATCAGTGTCTTGTAGAATTTCAGCAGATTTCAGGCTCTCCTGTGGGGCTTTGTTAGTTGTGCTGATCAGGTATGAGAGGATGTCCGGCTACTGAAGTTTGAGTCATTTCTTCTTGTCATTTACACACCCACCTGCAAGCATCCAGACGTATCCCAGAATAAAATGTACTTATGGGCCTGTTATGTTTTTAATGAGAAAATGAACAGACAGCATATTATACATTTAGTGCTACTACTACAATTTTCATCTCCCTACAATCTCCCTTTACATGGCCGAAATTTAGTTGCGTCAGCCAAGCTTCTACATTCTGTTTGAACACACAAAAGACTGAAAAGATACAGTAGGCCGACAGTAGAGGGTGAAAGACCTCTGTCCTAATTTGAGAGGATCCAACCACAGCCACTAATAAGAGTTTGGAGCTTTGATTGCTGATTCTGCAAAAATCTGTACTGTTTCTCAGTCCTTTATGTTATTTTCTTTTCCCTTTTTTTTTCCCCTTGTGTAAACTGCCATGTTTGTTTTGACGCAAATAGAGCATGCTTCTCTTTGATTGGTTAATCCGCCTGTCAGTCACTCCCTCTGAAATCACAGGATACACCTTCAAATCCGCTCGTCTTTGTAAAGTTTTGCCATAGCGTGTGGTTCTGGCTGGTCAGGTAAGGAATTCAGGGCTTTCTGATTGCAAGGGAGGATTGCACCATCCTTGCATTTACAAGTGAGGTTAAAAATTGGTAATTTATAAATACATTTAGAGATTATAAATAAAATATGTCCAACTCTCTTCTAAAATTCAAGTTTAAAAAGTAAAAGTACACATCAAAAACTGTTCTCAGGATACATGACTAAAGCTGTTTTTCCAAAACATTCCACCTCTTTGTTTTTGTCCTGTTTTGGATTTCTTGATGGTGCTGTGGAAAAAGACTCGCTTGGAAGATCTTTCCTGTTTTAGGAAATAAAACGTAAAATATAAACAGTTATGAGGTATTATATCACCTAGAATCTACTTGTGCATGCCAACTTGTATTCTCCCAACCTGCAAAGGTTTATCTCAATTTAATTACAATAAAGTACAGATAGATTTGTGACATCAAAGTGACTGTTTGTTGTGAAACAAAATGCACAGGTTTAAAGATCCAGTGGTATTTCCGTGTTGGACTTAGTCATCTTCCTCATCATAAAAGGATATCCTGGCGCTCTGTCTGTGCAAAGGTGCAGACAAAAGGAAGAGCGGAGAATCCATCACACCTGCTCTGATCAAAACAACAGTCCAAAGTCACGCCAGGTCAAACTCAATGCTTTTGATTATGACACTAATGTACTGCGGGTGATGGATGAAAATACTATATGCCATACAATCTGCACTGAGTTGAATACATGCAACTAATCTTCCCTTACGGACAATAAAGCCACTGAGTTGAGCTGATATGAAGAATTAACTTTGAAGGGCCTATGTTATGTAAAACTGACTCTTCTGAGATTTTTTACAAAGCTCAGAACACTCTGTTCCACCTTGTGATGTCATGAAGCAACAAGTTAACAGCTATCTTTTACCTTTAATTCAGTAGATATTGGAAATTCCAGGGCTGAAATTATCCAAACAATTCTGGTGAGGGTGCATGGAGTTTAAAAACATACTGGAACATTTCCTGAAATACAATTTTTTTCTGTTAGAGATAAGAACTCAGCCTAAATATGCAGGGTTTGAAGGTTAAGCGTGTAAATGAAACAAAACACAATTCCAGGTATGTTTTTGATGAGCAATCAATATTAAAACATGGATCAGTAAATAGTAATATGGTACCTTCAAAGTTCTTCTACAAAAGAAATTAATATTGTCTGTGAATGTTGGTTGTTACTGACTAATGACTGTTTCACCAGCTATGTTAATAAGCACACTAAAATGTTGATAGTATTTTCAAATTTCTGGCCATTTAAGATATTTTAAATGACATGGAAACCACATAATTTGATGTGAGCATCAGAGGGACCATGATGAGAGAGAAATATGTTTTTTTGCTGTTTACATTTGCATTTCATAGTTGTATATAACAACAATGCTGTTAATAAATAATCAGATATAGAGTGCGTATGTAACCACAGCCTCTGTTTGATTTTCTAACTTACTGTTGATTAAATGAATGATTTTGTTCTGTCCTGTGAGGCGATTGCTGTTGTGATTTTGGGTTGAACAAAAACAAACTGAATTGAAAAATAACTGTTCACATTAAGGCTGACAGTTTGGGTGATTTGCATGTATTGCTTATTAACATTTTATGAAATATCTGCAGAAGTCAATGCTACTGTACTGTTCAGTCTGGGTTCATTTGTTAAAATATAATTCTTAGCCTATATGATGTGACAAAACACCTGAGAATGGAGCCTGATTTATGTGTTACATAAGAGTGACTGTTGTGATGATCTGACACGTCCAGCTGCTTCCTGAGCTCATGTTTTAGTTAGAACATCCTTTATGGGGTTGCCAGGTCCACACGTCCACAGTGCTCTTCTACAGGTCAGGGGTGTGGTCATACTTGTCTTGGTTTGGTCCTGGTTTAAGTCCAGTTAAGTCCTGACTGAGACTTGTTTTGGTTTAGTCCTGGTCTGGTCCTAGTTTAGTTCCAGTTTTCTCTTAACACTGATGTAGTGCATGTGTGAATGGGCCCTGAATAAACTGGTTGAAATTTTAGTTTGCAAATCTTATAAAATAAATGAATAATGATAAAAAATAAGCAATACTTTTAGCTACTCTATATCTCAAGGCAATGTGCTTTTATTCATACCTCTCACATCAATACCATTTATGAAGGCTTTCTGAGTACTAAACCTAGGTATAAAGAACTATTCCAGGTCTAAATTAAGACTATTTCTGCCAAGGACTTACCCAAAAGAGGGCACATTTGAGAATAAAGCAAACTTCAAAATACACTACATAAACAGAGGGGCTCATGTATCAGGAGAAGGAGGCCTTATACTACCATTGCTACACACCACAGTTTGAGAAACACTGCACTAAAAAGCATACCATTGCTCTTAATTAATATACAGTTTCTCTTGGTACTTTTTTCCATACTTGTTATCCACTGCCAATTCGTTCACTTCTAGTTCATCAACACTGACTCTATGTTGGATCAGATCTGTGTTCTGGCTCTTTGAAGTTGATGTTGGCGATGGTTCCCCTTGGATGATCGATACACTGCAGCTGTATCTCCACATGAATAACCATCCATCTCTATATGTCTTTTGAAGATCCTTGTCAATCTATATCTGACCTAACTGCTGTGCAATAGGCCCAATGAGTGTTAATGGAACCAAGAGTAATATGTGGGAATGCTACTGTGCTTCTAGGTTGTGGTCAATTTTTGGGATTTATCGTCTGAGAATAGGCCAACACTAACAAAGCCTTAAACTTTTCTAGGTAGACCTTGTGTAATGGTCCGAGCAAATCTTTTCAACTGATGTTCATATTGTTTGCTCACAGAATTTTAAATATTGAAGCTACAACATGTATAACCCTTGCCTCTTTGGAGATAGTGGTAGTAATAATAAGAGAATATTATTATCACTTGAGGTCATTTTGTAGCAGTAATCTATTTCGCTGTTTGTGTTTTTTAAATCTAAATACCCGCGCAAAAACTGTTATAAAATTGTTTTTCTCCAGGTAACCATAATATAAAATAGTCTAATTTGGAACTAATGGTCATTATTCAACTCCAAGTTTTGACAGAAACTTGCTCTAAAGGTTTAAAGGTGCACTGTAACTTCTCCGGTAGAGGGTCCATCACCTGTTTGTCTCCATAGAAATGTTATTGCTGTGCCTAGAATATTCCTTGGTATGACATTAAATGCATCTATCTAGAAATTATTCATTTGGGGTGTTTCTATAGCTCAAAAATACAGTAATTATCTCTGTGAATAGGGTTGTCTCTCCACAGATTGGCCTGTAATGTTGCCTATAGTTGTCTCCCTTGAGACTGATAGGTTTAATCTATACCATGGAACATTCTAGACAAAGCAATAACATCTCCGTGAAAACAAGCAGCTGGGAAACCCTCCACCAGAAAGGTTACACAGTGCACATTTAAGTTTAAGTAGTGACTAATGACATATGAACAGGAAAAGTATGGCTGTAGTAATGTGGTGGTAATAGGACTAACTTTGGTGAAAAGTTGACTTAAGTTTGTACTTGTACTACGCTGATTGTATTATTGTTGTACTTGAACAGAGATTTTGGGTATGTCTTTCACTTAGCCTGTACATTATGTTTTTCTTTGTTTTCTTGTGTAGATGACAACGAGTGCCTGAACGTGACTAACATCTGTGGGGACTTGGGAAACTGCACGAACACGGAGGGAAGCTACTACTGTACATGTGTGCCTGGATACAAGTCCACAGGCCCCGCCCACTTCCTGCCCAACGACGGCACCCACTGCATTGGTAATAGTCCCATTCTCCACACACTGTCCCACATGTACTGTACTACACCAATCAGGGAGGGACAGGATGGAGAACAGCTATGACTAAGTGAGCTAAGAGGATGTCATTTTAAGGTCCTATATTGCACAAAACTGACCCTTGTGAGCTTTAAGGCATGCTGGAATGTTGTAGCCTCCTCAAAAACATACCTGGAGTTGTGTTTTGTTTCATTCGCACATGTTTGAGTTACCCTTTATTATTAGTCCATCTACATTTCCAGAGCTCAAAATACTCCTTGTGATGTCATGTCGTGGTCATTTTCAAGTTAGCTCATACCCTTTACACCTTTAGTTCAGTACAGATGGGTGTATAGAGTTTTAAAACACAGTAGAACACTTCCCTGTATTACCAAATGACCTCACAATGTGGAACAAAGTGTTTTCCGTTGTAGAGAAGAACTTGTGTGGTAAATATGTGTGAATGAAATTATATAACCTTATAACATAGATCAGAAAATAGCACAATATGGGTCATTTATTTTTGTGGAATGCATTTATTTATTTATCTTAATTTATGTATTCATATGTTTCTATATCTGACATGAGTGTAACATCTAACAAATTGATTTATGTAAATAGCTAAGATTTTGAAAACTTTTCTTACATAACCATTGGTTGCCATATACGTTTTGGGTTTCAAAAAGACTCCTGCTATGCACATACTAATTTTATTTCAGATGCAGAATAGCTACTATTATCATTTTAAGTGAATGTACATGTTTAGACACATTTTCTTCTTGTTTTATGGGGACCACATTCTCCTCTATCCATTTAAAACACTTAACTTATAATTGTTGCTGTTGTGGGACTACATTACAGTGCTATATAGAAGTATAAAAACTGCAGTGAGTGAGATAATTATTGAAATAGTAATGTGATATTATGAGTGACAATAATAGCACTAGCTGCTAAAAACTGTATTTAGAGGAAATGTATATAGGTATAGCAACTGTAGTTTGAAAAGTGCTCAAGTAGTAGTACTTTCTACAGTCAGAAGTTATTAATGCATGTTTTTTTTGTTTTTTTTAATGTCATATTTTAATTATATATTTACATAACAACATTCCACAACTCCTCTTGCCAGCTTTAACTATGTGACATTGGACTACATTTCACTTTACATAAGCACTACGCGTATTCCTCCACTTGTTCTTAAATTAGCAAACCAAAATATACCAGACACTGACCTTGTATTTTTAATTAACTATTGCTTTTGTTGTGCCTAGCTTTCATCATGTGATAGTGAACTCGTCTCATTTGCATTTTTCAGACGTAGATGAATGCTCATCGGGACAGATTTGTGGACCCAACTCCCTCTGCCATAATACAAATGGATCCTTCTATTGCACCTGTCAGCGTGATTACATTCCCACCTCAGGCACCAAGCGCTTTCATCCTGACAGGGGCGAATCGTGTGCAGGTCGGCATCACTACACTTATATTCAAGGACATACAAGTCTTTTTTTTATTATTCCTATTTGAAATCACGGAAATAATAACTCCACCAATTAAACCACTTTACACATCTGAAATACTGCTGCTAATACAAGAATGCAATTGTTCCAAGTTTCATGAGATTTTGACATTTGCGGTAAAAATTATGGAGATGACCCAGTTAATCAAAGGGATACTTTTGGTAATTGTTGTTTTTCAGAGCATCCCCAAAAATACTGCCATGACAACAGCGGCTGCATAACAAAGACAGTCAACAAAACACTCGAATATGTAAGTATCAGTGTGTGTGATTGCAGCCAAGTGTGAGAGGAAGAATGACACTGCCCTCTAATGGAGAGATTGGGAATAGAACAGGCATGACACGCAAAAGGGAGGGAAAAGTTGAATAAAATAAAATTGTAAAATTATGATACATGGTTAGGCTAGGTATTCGACAATAATAAATTATGAAGAGTGATTCATTGCAACAGAAAATATATCAATAAAGAGTAATACTGAACTATGATATGCCACTGACATTCATTGCAAAGAAAGATAAAGTCTCAGTATATATATATTTTTTTTCCATGCAAACCATATCAAATATAATTTAAAAAGCACAATAAAATGCTCAAATAGTTAGTAAGTATCAATAATGAGTCAGATTATTCAACCCTTAACAGCTCAAATCTTACAGAATTACAATAATATAAGAACAGTTCCCCAGTTATGTAAATAAAAAGCCTACTGGGCCCACAAATAATGTTTAACTCTCATTTATTAAACCTAAAGACTTTCTAACATTTCAGTAAGCTCCCTAGAAGAAATGATTTGAACTCCGTGGCCCTTATTAAACATTTCCTCATATCTGTCAAAAAACTTGGGCTACATTAACCTGAGTGCTTCTCTCTTTGCAGCTGACTCACCTGAAAGAGCCGGAGAGTGCACTGCAGGAGATTGTGAATCGGACATCGGGCGAGCTCACGTCAGTTGAAGTCATAGCATTTCGTAGAGGCCCTCAGCTGGTCCACTTCTGCCCTGGGAACCAAAAACAGCACTGTAAAACCATCGGCTATCAACTCCACCCTGACTGTAAGATTTGTTTATCACTTACCTCCAGCTATGAATGAGGCCGTTCTGTCTGACTGAGAATATGCTTTGAACTGGGACATAGAAAAAACAAGTATGGCAATTGACATGGTTAATTTATTTTGTGTAGCCAATTATTTGTCCAAAAAGAGGTAATGTAAACTGCACAATGCAATAATGAAGGAGTATATTGTCAGCAAAGTTCAATTAGGTCCAAATCTGACTGCAATTATCGCAAGTCACACTTTGAACAAGGAAAATAAATACAATGGTTTTCTTTTTTCCCCAAGAAACCATTTCGGAAAGGAAAAAAACAAATAACAAAAACTGTTACAATAAATTTGCTGAAAAGTAAGAGTTAAAGCTGCATTACCCAACTCCTCACACACTTGTAAAAAGAAGCATGTGGGTTACCATCGAGCCGGCTTCATAATGCTTGAAAAAAGCTCTTCCAAAGCTGAGCATGTGCTAAAAAATCATGCAGGGTTTGTAGGAAAAAGGAAAAGTTAGTCTTAAATACCTATCTTCCACCTTTTTATGTTATCCCAGCTATGTTTTGTTTCATTCAAACTCGTCTAAGACACAAACCCTGCATATTTAGTCTGAGTTCTTCTTTTTCAATCGAAAACACTCTGCTCCACCTTGTGACGTCATGCAGTAATAAAATAAGTGCTCCACTGTGTTTTTAAACTCCATACACCTTCACTACAATCATTTGGATAATTTCTGGAATTTCTAAGCCTACTAAACAAAAGGAAAAAGATAGCTGTTCACTATAAAACTATTTCATAACATCAAGTTCAAACAGAGCATTTTGAGCTTTGAACATGTAGACAGACTAATAATGCGAGATTTTCTCAAACATGTGTGAATGAAACTAAATTCAACTCTGGGTATGTTTTTGATAAAGTAACAACATTATAATATGTCTTAGAGCTGAATCAATTTTGGGTAATATACTGTAGAACCTTTAATTAAACATTGATGCTGTAAAAAATATTTCAAATAAATTTTTCTGTGAGTAATGCACCACCCTCAAATATCTTTCTATGTTTTCTTTTTATAGAATTTTATTTCAAAGCCTAATACTGTATTTTTTTTTTTTACATTACCTATTCTGGAATCTTCTACAATTTGGTTTATCCTTCAATAGTTTGTACGCTGGACTTCTTGAGCTTATACATAAATTGTTTAACTTTGCAATCCCCCAAGCACTAAAAAAATCTGCTCAACAGAAATTAGTGCATGCTGTGAACAATTTGGTGGAGAATGATGAAGCCGTGGCCTGGAGCAGAATCAAAGAGGAGCAGCGAGAGCTCTCCCTCACCAAACTGTTACACACTGTGGAGGACAGTGCACTGAGGCTGGCCACCGGGTACCAGAGACCCACAGAGCTGCAAGTCAAAGCCAGTGACATGGGTAAGAGATAAAAATACAATAGGATAATTATTGTGGTGCAAAATGCAGATAACAAAGTGTGTTTTTGGTCCCCGACAGAATTAAAACTGGTCACATTCGAAGCCAAGAAGACTAAAGCCAAACTCTCTGCCACAATGGGAGGAGATGTGGTGAATCTGACCCCGAAAGTAAAGCCCAAGAATGAGAGAAATGGTAATGTAGATTAAAAAATTTTCAATAACTCGTTAATATAGTGATGATTATGGAGAATAGAACATGATACAGTAAAATAATACAATGGCTGTCAAGTGGTAATAGAGGCCACAATGATTCTGACTAAAATGTCCAGAAAACTACAACTTTATAATATCACAGGCATATTGAGGACACAAGTGCAAGACAGGTGTATATTTTATTTTGTCCTACATAAAGTAAAGTTTGAAAGTTTGTGAAATGCTGTGTTAGCTGATCTGTGCTCCATCCTCTCTAGGCAGTGTATCAGTGGTGTTTGTGAGGTATGACAGTGTGAGCTCCCTGCTGAAGCCCTCCTCTGACCCTGGCCTCACAGACTACTCTCGATACGCAGACACCGGGGAAATCACTGTCAACTCTCACGTGGTCGCGGCCGCCGTCCAGCCGGCCCAGGTCTACCAGTTGGACCACGTTACCTTTACTCTGCAGCACAAACAGGTAAATGCTCCACTGGGACACTGCATAGAGGGCTGAACTTTGATCTCAGCAAAATTCAAGTTATTTCAAAACGATATAGTAAATAAGTGTCTTTAACTTAACTTTAAGGGTGTGTTCATACTTCCTCAATCACAATATCTAAACTGAGAAAAAAACAGGAACTAAAGCAGGACTAAACCAGAACTAAAGAAGGTCTAAACCAGAACTAAAGCAGGACTAAACAAGGACTAAACCAGGACTAAACCAGGACTAAACCAGGACTAAACCAGGACTAAACCAGGTCTAAACCAGACTAAACCAGGATTAAACCAAGACTAAACCAGGACTAAACCAGAACTATAAACCAGGACTAAACCAGAACTATAAACCAGGACTAAACCAGGACTAAACCAGGGCTGAACCAGAACTAAACCAGTATTAAAAGAAGACTAAACCAGGTCTAAACCAGAACTAAACCAGGATTAAACCAAGACTAAACCAGGACTAAACCAGGACTAAACCAGGGCTGAACCAGAACTAAACCAGTATTAAAAGAAGACTAAACCAGGTCTAAACCAGAACTAAACCAGGATTAAACCAAGACTAAACAAGGTCTAAACCAGGACTAAACCAGGTCTAAACCAGAACTAAACCAGGATTAAACCAAGACTAAACCAGGACTAAACCAAGACTAAACCAGGACTAAATCAGGACTAAAGCAGCTCTAAACCAGGACTAAACCAGGACTAAACCAGAACTATAAACCAGGACTAAACCAGGGCTGAACCAGAACTAAACCAGTATTAAAAGAAGACTAAACCAGGATTAAATCAGGACTAAACCAGAAGTAGAATGAAACCAAATTTAAATAGGAACTTAAAATGGGCTCAAACCAAAACCAAACTAGGAAAAGTACAAATGTACCATAAGTCAAAACTCTATCTTATAATAACTAAAAGAATGTATGAAAACCTATATTTTGCTTAGTAATTGTCTGTAAGATCCAGGACGGATTTAGATATGAAAGTGCCAAAGGGAAATGAGAATGGAATATTTTATGTTCGGTATTTTCCATTAAATATAAAATAAAATATGGAGATGTTCAGTTTAATCTAAAAAAGTAAAAATTATTAATATAGTTCTTTCAATATAAGATCCAACAGAAAGTCATATAGTGAAAAAAATGATGATTATGTATTACAGTAATTCTGTATGATATAAAAATGAACTTTTACACAATATTCTATGTTCCTTAAGCACTGATGCAAGGTTTAGTTTTTACATGACATGAAAATCTCTTAATTACTACAAAGCACCGAGAGACCTTCATATAAAATGTAAATGCGCTCATATTTGTTCTTTGTGAATATAATTTTTGTGGAATAGTTATTGTTGGCCACACTTCTCTCCCACTGCGAGAAGACTAATTTATGTGCTCTGCTGTTTTAGTGTAAATTGCTTCATGAGTTTCCGGCCCCCCGGCGTTTTGTTATCCCAAAGCAGAGCCATAAAACAGTGGTGTCCGATCTTAACAGTGTCTCTGTTGCTTGGTGCTCCTCACAGCTCATAGATACCAGCGCTGACGTGAGTAAGTGTGTGTTCTGGGAGTATGAGCGGGCCAGTCTGAAGGGCCGCTGGGCCATGGACGGCTGTTCCACCCTCCACGTCACTCCTAACGCCACCACCTGCTCCTGCACCCACCTCACCCACTTCGCCATCCTCATGTCGTCCGGGCGCGCCAATGTGAGTGTGCTGAGAACTTATTTTACATTTATTTTGTAACCTTTTATTATATTTTATTTATTCTTTTCACTGTTAGAATGCATTTATTTATTGTTCTCACTGTAAGAATTTATTTTAATTTTAGTTTAGTCTTTGTTCGAATGAACAATGTACAGAGACATTAAGCAACAAACAAAAAAAAACAGATATTCCGCACCAGATTATAGTTAAACAGTTAGTTCCACCTGCAGTCTTAAACTACACCTTAATTAGCATGAATAAAGAATGAACAAAGACTTTTTTTCATAATTACGCAAATTGTTAATTAAGAAAGATTCATCTAACTATAAATTAATACCCTAACCCTATCTCTGAACCCTAACCTCTTAATCAAGTGGTTACTGAGCCAGAATCATTCACTGGTGGTGTATAAAAGTAAATATAAATTGTAAAAGCAGTTCTAAGGAACTGTGCCGTGTGCTGTCTTCAATTATAAAGCATTTTAGTGTCCAAAATTGCTCATGCGCTGTTAGCATGCTAGTCGTCGTAAGCCTCTGAAAGTTGTGAAAAGTGCATTAAATCTATTGCTAAAGAAAATATAGACAATAATATTGAAACTAATTCATACCACTGACACAATAATCCTAAAACATGATTATTTCCTAATATATTCTAAAATGTATATGTTTCAAATAAATAAATAAATTACAGAATTAAAAACTAAAAATCATCAATCAAAATTCTAATCTAATCATAGTGCAGAAAAATTTTAAAAAGAAGAAATCCATGATGTTAATATTGGCCACAAAAAATATTAATATATATATACTGAACCATTAGTTGATATAGTAATTGTCATGACAGGCCTGATAGCACCTTTAATGCAAAAATACACACACTTCAGATTACCTTGCAGCAGTGAATGAAACCCCTCTCTTTGGCTCTCAGCTGGTGGCCCACTACACTGTCCTGACGCGCATCACCCAGCTGGGCATGATCATCTCTCTCATTTGCCTCTCCATGTGCATCTTCACCTTCTGGTTCTTCAGTGAGATCCAGAGCACACGCACCACCATCCACAAGAACCTGTGCTGTAGCCTCTTCATGGCAGAGTTCATCTTCCTGGTGGGCATCAACCTCAACAGCCATAAGGTGAGACAGTGTGGAGGCCCTGGAATGAGAATGAGAGGAGAGTTTGGGTCAATGCTATAAACAGTGCATGTTTTGAGGAGCAAGGATACAGAAACAGACACAAAATACAGAGGAAGATATACTCTATAAATGACAGTGGAGTAACTAGTTTTGGATTTAACAATGATTTTGGAATACAACCCAAAGATAACTATTAATTCTGCACTAACTTCAGTTAAAAGTTCATGTTTTGGGGTGCGAGGATACATAAACATAAACATAAACAAAATACAAATGATGACATACAGCATAATTCACTCTGGAGTAACTCATTTTGGATTGAACAATAATTTTGACATATAAACAAAATATAACTATTAAATTTCTTTAACTTCAGCAAACAGGATGTTTTGGGGTGCAAGGATACATTTATAATAGACATAAAATGCACAGAGGAAAATGTATAGTAAGAAGTAATAAGAAGTAACTAATAATTATTTTGAGATAACAATATCAAATTTTAAAAGTAAAAAAAAATAATTATTTCACTCACTAAAAGAATATATAACTTGTAAATGTATTGGTTTTGTCTGATAATTCATTCATATTTCTAGGCATTATATACAGGATTTGACATTACAATACAGACAATTTCTGATTTGTCGTAACATAAAGTAGTACACTACTTGAGCTTTTAAGCCTAGACAATTGCTTCAAAAAGTGCCATGACTTCCAGAGTAAAAAAAAAATGTAGAAAATGTAGAAAATAAATGTAGTGCAACTAAGCATCCCTGTAACATTTTAGAGTCAAACTAAACTAAACAGTTTTTCTGTCTTATCTTGTGTATTCCCTGGCAGCTGTTCTGCTCAGTGATTGCAGGGCTCTTGCACTATTTCTTCCTGGCGGCCTTTGCCTGGATGTGCATCGAGGGCATCCATCTGTACTTAATCGTAGTGGGTGTCATCTACAACAAAGGCTTTCTGCACCGCAACTTTTATGTTTTTGGTTACGGCAGCCCGGCGGTGGTGGTGGCCATATCAGCAACAATGGGAGCCCAGTACTATGGCACAGATAAAATGTGAGCACAAGCCATTTCTGTCCCTAGATACAGAAAGTGTGTTATTGTCATGTGTTCAAGCTAGCATTACTTTTTAAATAGTACTTTAAATAGTAATGATGACTACTGCTTGACTTGTTTAAGTACTATTAAGGTTAGACTTTGATTTCGACAAACTCTATTGATCCACAAGGGAAATTACATACACAGTAGGTCACCATTTATGTCATTTTTATTTTTGCTATTTGTTATTATATTGTAATGTGTAATAAAATTCAAATTTCATAGTCATGAGCATGAGATCCTCATGAGTGCCCTGTTGGAGACTTCATTAAAGGGCCCACATTACGTTCTTTCTTTTTTTTTTTAAATCTATGTTATAATGTTGTTTCCTCATCAGAAATATACATGTGTTGTTTCATTTGTGAAATGTGCATATTAGGCTGAGTTCTCTCAAACAGAAAACTTCTTTGTTGCACCTTGTGAAGTCATGTGGTAATACAGAAAGTGCTCCACTGTGTTTTTAAACTCCATACACCTTCACTAGAGTCATTTGGATAATTTGGAATTACCAATAGTGCCAATCTTTACTGAAATAAAAGTAGAAGCTATCTGTTAACTCGAAAACTAGCACTTCATGACATCACACGGTGGAACAGAGACATTTTTTTTTCAGTTTTGGAGATGTAGACAGAATTATAATGCAATGTTACCCAAATGTGTGTGAATGAAACAAAACATGTTTTGAGGTATGTTTTGAGGAGGTAACAACATTAAGACACGGCTTAAAACCCACAGTCAGTATTTGCGTAATATTGGATCTTTAATGTCATTTTTGTTCTGTAATTTTACTCAGTTTTATTTAAGTCATAGTTGCTAGGCTTCAAACACACAACTCCCAAAATAAACAAGCAAAAGGATATGGCTAAGAAATGCATTCTCTTCTGAGTCATTAAAACTCATTGTTCTCCAGGTGTTGGCTAAGCACAGAAAATCACTTCATTTGGAGTTTTATTGGACCAGCATGTCTGATTATTTTGGTAAGAAAGTAAGATTGTGTTATTCAAATGCTATCTATAAAGTATTGACAAATGTTTGGCTGTGTGTTGTGTTTTCTCTTTGAAGGTGAATCTGTTGGCTTATGGGGTGATCATGTACAAAGTGTACCAGCACACAGCAGTGAAGAAGCCTGAAGTCAGTCATTATGAAAACATCAGGTAGAGGATGTTAAAACTAAAGCAATTATTGTTCATGTATTTTATTTTCAAACACAATAACACGCGTCTGTCTCAGGTCGTGTGCTCGCGGGGCTCTGGCTCTACTCTTTGTCCTCGGGGCCACTTGGACATTTGGAGTTCTTCACATCCTCCATGAGACCACGCTGACTGCCTATCTGTTCACTTTTACTAATGCTTTTCAAGGGATGTTCATCTTTATCTTCCTCTGTGTGCTGTCCAGAAAGGTACGCCACATCTTGACTAAATCCTTGTTTCATAGTTTATACAATGGTCACAATGTATTTGTCATTAGCCTCAATACATATACTTAATTATTATGTGGTATGCCAACTTCAGGTAATAAGGTATACAGTTATTACTAAGGATTAAGTCTACATGCTAGAGAGTTTGAGTTACAGGAGTTACAACTAAACAAAATAAGTATGTTCATTTTTTATTTTTTTCCAAATGCAATATTAATAGAATGTTATAGTAATTCATCAAAAAATTATCAGGCCCATATGTCTTGGGAGAGGTATCCCGAGTATCCTATAAAATAGACCATAAAATGAATGAATTGCTAGTCTAGAAATATCCCCTTATGTAAAATGACATTGTTTTATTTTTATTCTGCACTTCTTTACAGCCTTTTGAAATATTTTTGTAGTGATTTAAATTTTGCATGTCTTCAAAACTACAACTGCAATATTATCCATGTTTTGATATATTTCCCATCTCTAGTAACTGTTACATATTATTTCCTTTTGTTACACTAAAGTAGCTTATACTTAATGAAGAAGGCACAATTCAAGTGCAATGTGAAATAAATGTACACAGCTAAATCTAGTATATTTAAGTCATTTTTTTTCTTCAGATCCAGGATGAATACTACCGCCTGTTTAAGAACGTGCCGTGCTGTTTTGAATGCCTGAGATGAAACAGAGCCTGAAGATCTTCCAGCAGCACTTGTGCAGAGGAGTCAACACTCCAGCTCCACAATATCCTGTGACTCATGTTTTCCTTCAGGACAAAGTGTGGGACGAGTTGTGTTGTACAGACACACAAATATCATGTAGCAATTTACAGTCATGCTTCAACAACGTCTTTAAGTGCATGTCTTGTATTCATGTCAAACAAATGTGGAATAGCTAATACGTGTATAATTTATCTTAAAGATGTACCTTGCTCTTTCCTGTTCAAAAATGTAAATTATTTCTATGGAAAATAAACTTGGTAAAATGTAAAATTATTTTGAATTCATGAAATAAATAAAGAAACTGGAAGATTGAAAACCAAATGCCACAGGCCACAAAACATCGTATAACCCAGTTAGTTGTGCCATACTGCCATCTACTGGCTAATTAAAAGAAATATTCCAGTGTCACAGTCTATTGATACTTTGCAGCGGCATCTAGCTGGGGGTGCTCTCCATGTATCTCAAGGGCGGAATGTTCAGCAGTTACCATGGTGACACAATGTACACATTAGCAAACACTGACAAAAAAGTTTAAAATAGTCTGAAAAAAATACAAAATGGATTTAAACAACACATTTTCAGGAGTTTATGTTCAATACAAGCGTTCATGGTCCTGTTTAGGTATTTGATTTTCAACAAAATGGTGAAAGTGACTAACTGAAAAAAAAAAAAAAAAATTGGTTAATGCTTTATTTGTGGGAGACTTGTTTAAAAGCATAAATCATCTCACCTGTTGTAGTTCCAACCAAGTCGGCGTTTCTAGTCAGACTGTGTTAGAATAAAGCTCAGATTAAGTCTAACGTGAGTATCAGAGCTTCTAAGAGAGCAGTGCTTTCAAAGTTAGCTTCACACCCCCAGGGAATGTGAATGACATCAGATGCAAAGTATCACTTTGAGTCTTATCTTTATTAAGAGGTGAAGAAAAAGTACAGCAAAATAATGTGCTCAGAAATGTCTGTAAATTTCCTTCAGCAGAAACAAAAGTTAGTGATTAAATATTTTAAATTTGTTTTTGTTTTGTTTTTATCTAAAATTGGGTCACTTCAAGCTTTCATGGAACAAATTTACAATCAAAAGAGCTTACTAATCATTTCTATACAAGCTGATTAGGCAAAACAAAAATGCATTCACACGGCCAGTTTTGTTAAAATTAGAAGTTATATTTATGTTCAGATTCACCCAAACATTTTATATATCTGCTTTATGTGCTATTTTTGTTTGTTTATTTTTCATGTTTCCATTCAGCTATAAATGTTTCAGAACCCTTGGCAGTTTAATCCTCTCATCAGCGCCTTTGAAAAGGTCTTTGAAAAATGCTTAGGGCCCCAGTTGAATTTTCCCTTTACTTTTAAATTCCACTTATGAACAAACTAACTGTGGAAAGAAACTACAGCTCCCTCTAGTGGACATTTTATAGAAGTAAACTAGTAAGGTAAAATGTAGTTCAGTATAAAATGTTGCTTTTCATGCAGTGTAAGGAAGTAATTCAGCCTGTGGTTCTCAAAACAATTTAAATCAAATAACACCTAAAGATATGTATGTGGCTTTCAAGTATTACTATAGATAAACCTGGACTATATCAGACATAAAATAGGGCTAAACTTGCTCTAAAATACAGCTAAATCAGTTATAAATGAGAATATGGATAAGATAATATTCATAAAAATTTAACCCAGGAGAACAAAACAGGAATAAGCCTGTCTCTGTAATAAACAAATATTCAAACTGTAGAGTCAAACCTGCCAAGTGGTACCCTCTATACCACAGTTTGAGAAACACTGTAAAAAGCTATAGTCAACTTCATGTGGCATAGTGTAGCCATGCCAATACCATGTTTTTAAGTATAAATGTTGTTACTGACATCACTTTCAAATGACAAACACAGGTTTCTTTAAAACTTAGAAAACTATCTTCTAAAGTATAGAGCGTTTCAGAACCAGCAGCACTAACCAAATGTTGGCTCTCTATGGGACTGACTAGGTATTGTCCAAACTGCATAATTCTTTTTAAAAAATGTCATCATCTTTGATTATTTTGTAATTCCTCAAATGCTTAAACTCTGTACCAAAATTAAAAAAAAAGAAACAACACAATAAATCTGCACTCATGTATATGTATGTATGTATGTATGTATGTATATATTAGAGCCTGACCGATATGGATTTTGTTGTGGCCGATATGAAACCGATATAATGGGAGTTGGAGCTGCCGATAGCCGATATAATTGCCGATATATTTAGTGATGTAAAAATTCACTGTAAATCTTGAATTGTTTAAAAAACTTAGGTTTGGCTCTAGTGGATTCTAAATGTGATTATTTAGGCAACATTTATTGTTATTCTGACTCTTTCATCATATTTACATACAGTAGATCGGCCTAATGGCATTTTTGCATCACATTCTAGCTACTAGTGATGGGTATTCCAGTTTTTTTTTTTTGGAGAACCGGCTCTTTTGGCTCGGCTCACTAAAGCAGCTGGCTCTTTCGGCTCCCAAGCGGCTCTTGAGATTGTTTTGTTGCAAGCAGGACTAAACCAGAACTGAACCAGGACTGAGTGTCGGGACTCGGTCTCTCCCTCACTCAAGCCCAAGATTAGTCTTGGTTTATTCATTTTATGCTGAACTGCAGCCAAATATGCACTTTTTTTTTTTTTTTTTCAGAAAGTTTCGTTTTCAGCCGCTGCTGCTGTCTACAAGCGGCTTGAAGAGAAAAAGTGAGAAAAAGAGAAAACACGGCTCCCAATAAGAAGCAAGCTCCCGTTGTTCACTTCAAAGAGCCGGCTCTAAGAGCCGCTTCGATCGCGACCGACCCATAACTCCTAGTAAATAAACTACCGCTATTAGCCTTTAGCCGTAAATGCTGGCATCGCTGTAATTAATTATATGCATAAATGTGGATCATTCACACGTCTATTCACAGCTCATTTACATATCAATGCTGGTCCAGTAGCAGATATATGGCCAATATATTCACTTTACAATAGACCAATAGAAAACAGCCTGTTTATGTGCAGGAGCTACAGCAGCTAATCGCTAATAACAAATAGCCAAAACTAGCTTCAAAGTCGATGTATTTCCAACACTCACCGCTCACACAGGCTCCTCCTCACATCACAAGTCTGCACTAATAAATGTACTTTTAATCCAGACTCAAACCGATTGTCCGTAAAAAGAAAATAATCTCAGTGTTGCGCACCTCTGCGGGTGTAAACAATAGCACGTGAGTGAAGTGACGTGACTCTGGGGGGGTGTTCAGGGACAGTAGGGACACAGACACAGACAAATTACACCACAGATAAATACTGATGCGGAGCCACATATTAGGACATTTATTTGTCTGTAAATTGGATTAAATGAACATAATGTAGAGAGTCTAAGCTTTATAGGTATAACATGCCCACATGAAATATCGGCCCATATCAGCAATCTCCACGTGCCCATATCGGCCAATAATATCGGCCAGCCGATATATCTGTCTAAATAAGGCTACTACTACATGAATCTACAACTCTCAATTTTCTTCTCTGAGAAAATATTTTAGTCTCTCATATAAAAGTGATTGGTAAGCATTATTAGAATTGGCTGTAAGTTACTGGTAAATGGTCACATTTTTATATAGTGCTTTTCCACCTTCAGGGCACTCAAAGTGCTTTACATCAAGAAACCACTTACCCTCTCATACACACATTCATACCCCAGTGTAGGCAGACACTAAGGACGAGGTGGGTTTAGTGTGTTGCCCAAGGACACAATGACAGCATTCATCTGTGGGAGCACTAATCACAGCAGCCAACCTGTGGATCTGACCACTCTACCAATAATGTTCAAGAGCAGGATTGTTTACACACTGGTTTGGATCTAGATGACACTGACAATCAGATCAATCAAACATAAATCAACACTTTGTGGCAGGGCTTTGATTTTGTGACTTTGTAACTGTTGTAACTAACTTTTTGTTTGCATGTCACTGTAACCAGGTGTACAGTGGTCAGCCTGGCTTTGACACATGATGTTTACTCTAATGAAATAAGGGTCATGAAGGAGATACAAGTGAGTATAAAAGAATCAGAGCTCAGAGTCTCATCCCACTGCTGTCCTCACCATGCAGGCCCTACTTCTGTGCTGCCTGGTGGCTCTGGCCGGTGAGTTTTCATCTTTATCATTTTGTAACTATTGTAAAGTTGTTAGTTGGGTTTTTTAATTTGTTCATTCAATTGAATATCTTATTCTGTTCCTATTTAGATCTTAAATTGGAACTTTTAAAGTCACTCAAAAGTGTGGTAACTGAGACATGTTTCTCCCTATACATTTTTTTTTTTTTTTTTTACTGTGTTGATTGTGTTGGCGGGTACCTTGGCCAGTAAAGAGATCTGGGGTAGGTTTGGCTTAGAAAAAACTTGCTCTTGATGAAGAAGCTCCAACCTCAGGACAAGTTTCAATAGATTATATATATATTTATTTATACAACTGTACTTTTGTATATGTTTTTATTTAACTAGTTTTCTTTATAGATTTGTCAAATGTGCCTTCTAGCAGTTTGTGCAGTTGAAAATCTAATAATCTAATAAGCATCTAATAGCCCTTTACTTTATTTTTCAGTCTGCAACGAGAATGCACGCTATGGTAAGTCCTTCCACCTCCCTATTGTAAAATGATGTTAGTATGCTTGATATATATATATATATATAGCATACTAACATCATTTTTTTACAGACCTCAACTTGAACCCTAATAAGATCTATGAGTACCAGTATGAAGGATGGGTCAAATTTGGCCTGGGCAACCCAAACCATGCTGAGTCCGGTGCAAGACTGAAGTCCAAAGTCACGATTGAGGGTGCTTCTGCTGACACTTTTAATCTGAAGGTACAAAATAATGCATGCTGATAACTTACAGTGTTTTTAAAATGTATTTATAGTGGAAATAAAGTGTTTTAAGTAATTTAATATATAATAAAATACAATTTCTGCAATCTGCAATATCAGAATGATAAAGTAGTTAAAAAAAAATAAAAATAAAAAATAGTAGTGGGGATTGTGGTAGTAAAAGCAAAGAAGATAGTCACACATCTACAAGAGATTTTGCAAGCTGAATCATGGGTACTGGTAATAATGGTTGTGGTTATACAAAGAGACACAATAGCAGCATTAACACTGCTCTTTTGTTTCTACAGTTCTCCAATGTAGTCTTTGAGGAGTTCAATGGTGTCCCAGAAAGTAACTTTGTGGCAGCTGACCAGCTCGCCCAAGAGATTGCTGATCAGTTGGCAAAGCCCATTGAGTTCACATACTCTGCAGGGAACGTGGGTGAGATCAAAGCCTCCTCTGAGGTGGCCGATACTGTGCTCAACATTATCAGAGCATTCCTGAGCTTTTTCCAAGTCACGGTCAAAACCACACAGGATATCTACGAACTTGAGGAGGTGAGATTTGTTTGTTTCTTTAAGTTAATCTCCTCTGCATGCACTTCTCTCACACCAACAATCAACCATACGCTTTTTGTAGGTTGGCATCCATGGAAAGTGTTTTAGCAGTTATGCAGTGAAGATAAATGACCAGGAGAAAGTCATGGATCTCACTCAAGTGGTAGATGTGACCAACTGCAGGGAAAAGGCTGCCTTTTACTTTGGAATGGCTACAGCCCTTGAGGACAAGGACTCCAAGCAGGTCTGCAAACTCCACTAAAGGCATTATTATTGCTTTCATTAGTCAAAATAAAGATTATTTTTGTATGCATTTGATGCAGAGGGGTGAGTCTACCTTCTCAACTGTTAAATACACATACAACATCAAAGGAGCAGAGGATGCAGGACTCATCACTAAAGCCCAAGCCCTGGAGCTGCAGTACTTCACTCCCTTCAATGTGAAGAGAGGTGTCTTCAAGATGGAGGCCAGGTAAGTCAACTGATTAAGAGAGGAGCACTTTTTCCTCCTCTTTTATGAAGTGATAACAGTGATAACAGTCCTACACTGTCTTACAGGAAGGAGCTGGTGCTCATATCTGAGGGGGCCAAAACTCAGAACATCCCCAGGATTCAGGAGAGACAGCTCCAGAACAGAGGAAACCTCATATACAAAGTGGTGAAGAACTGGGCTAATGTACCAATCACAATGCAGAAGATGGACAAGCCTGTATCTAAGGTAGCCTTCATATTCATTCATTATAGTTAGCTTCAAACAATAATTTAAAAAACTGCTCATTGACACAATTTTCATAGGCTAAAGAGCTGATCAAACGTCTGGCCCAAGCAAACAGACACCAAATTGACAGTGCAACAACTGAAGATACCATCAAACTGTACCAGCTGCTGCGAGTCATTCCTTTGGATCAACTGGAAAAGATGTGGGCAGATGTGGAAGGGAACTCTGATGAGAGGTCAGTCTGGATCTAATTTGCACTACTAGATTGAAGAGGATAGACCAACATCGGAGTTAAATGAAAAAGATGTTAAAAGCTATTTACATTTTTTCCATAGGAACTGGTTCTTACACACTGTTGTTGAGGTTAACGATGCCAGAATCCTGACTTTCCTGGAACGTGTTCTTCGGGAGGAAAAATTAAATCAACTGGAAGCCATTACTGTCATTGTGCGAGCATTCAACCACCTCGATGCAACTCCAGAGCTGCTCAAGATGGCAGAGGTTAGATTAAAGATACATATTCTATGATAATTGAATGTTATAATGTTGATATATTTATGTAAGTATATTCTTATTCATCAAGAAATTCCTCACCATGACCTACAACAATCCTGTCATAAGAAGAACTGTGGTGCTGTCCTATGGCTCCCTGGTATTTAAACTTTGTGCCTACAACAACCCCTGCCCAGAGGAGGCCATCAGGGTAACTATATTAATTTATCAATTATAAATATTGTTTCATGTTAAGTTTCACTGCAAATTTTGTGAAATTATAACTTATATGTATCTTTATGATGATTTAGCCACTCTTGAACATGGCAGAGGAGAGTATCAGAAATAACAATGTGATGGAGAAGATTCTAGTCCTGAAAGCGCTGGGTAATGCAGGTCATCCTCGCAGTCTCAAAACCATCAACAAGTTCCTGCCTGATGTGGACCCTAACCCGAACCGAGTGGACAGGGAACCACGGGTCGTGAGCGCAGCTGTGCAGGCTATGAGACTGATCACAGCCAGGGACCCTCATGGGGTAAGGACAGGATCAAAATAATCGGATTGTTTTCATGTAAGCAGCTACCCCAATGGTTGTAACATGGATTTCTATTGGATTAAAAATACATTGGGTGCGTGAGGGTTCACGGGAGTCTGCCCAAGCAGTCCACATGTGCTTAGTGGATCTGGACAAGGTATTTGACCGTATCCCTCGTGGTGTCCTGTGGGGGGTGCTCTGGGAGTATGGGGTCCAAGGCCCCTTGCTAAGGGCTGTCCGGTCCCTGTATGATCGGAGCAGGAGCTGTGTTTGCATTGCCGGCAGTAAGTCAGATCTGTTCCCAGTGCATGTTGGACTCCGCCAGGGCTGCCCTTTGTCACTGGTTCTGTTCATTATATTTATGGACAGAATTTGTAGGTGCAGTCAGGGGCCAGAGAGGATCCGGTTTGGGGACCACAGGATTTCATTTCTGCAACGTGTAATGGGGCGGTTTGTAGCCGAGTGTGAAGCAACTGGGATGAAGATTAGCTCCTCCAAGCCCAAGGCCATGGTTCTTGACCGGAAAAAGGTGGCTTGCCCTTTCTGGGTGGGTGGGGAGTCCCTGCCTCAAGTGAAGGAGATTAAGTACCTCAGGGTCTTGTTCACAAGTGAGGGAGGGAGCATGAGATTGACAGGCGGATCAGTGCAGCATCGACAGTGATGTGGTCATTGTATCAGGTCCTTGTGGTGAAGAGGGAGCTGAGCCGGAAGGCAAAGTTCTTGATTTACCAATCAATCTATGGTCCTACCCTTACCTATGGTCATGAGCTTTGGGTAATGACCAAAAGGACAAAATTGCGGACACAAACGTACAAGATGAGTTTCCTCAGCAGAGTGGCTGGACACTCCCTTAGAGATAGGCTGAGGAGCTCAGTCACATGAGAGGAGCTCAGAGAAAGCCGCTGCTCCTCCACATCGAGAAGAGCCAGCTGAGGTGGCACGGCTATCTGTTCCGGATGCCTCCTTGGGACCTCCCAAGAGAGATGATCCGGGCAGGTCCCACAGGAAGGAGGCCCCGAGGAAGACCCAGGACAAGCTACAGGGACTATGTCTCTCGGCTGGCCTATTGGTCCAGGAAGTCTGGGAGTCCCTGCTAAGACTGCTGCCCCCACGACCCGGCCCCGGATAAGCTGAATGAAATGAATGGATGGATAAAAATAGCAACACAATTGCAACAGAACCCGAATGGCTTCAACTAACATCTGCTGAGATCTCAAAACATTAAAGAAAGTGGTTTTGGTTTTATTGCAAAATGATTGTAACATCTTACGCATACGCAAGTATAGAGCCCTTTTAACTTTGTGATAGCATAATTGGCGTGAGGAACAAAACACAAAATAGCATGTGTACATTAGGGATGGGCATGATTAGTCGATTAATTGATAATTGATCATTAAGAATTTCATCGATTATGTTAATTTTAATCGACAAACCGAATGTAGGTTGCTGTGCGTAGCGTGACCAAACAGGTCCGTACATGTGTCTCTCTGCACTCAGAAGGAGCGAGACACAAACAGTCGGTCAGTCTGCAATGTAACGAAACGCAAATGTGTATTAACGATGACTTGTACAAGAAATTCCACGCTTTCCGTTGCGTTCGGGACAAGTGTGAGGCCATGTGAAGTGTACAAAGCAGCACATATGTTTCGGTGTCCAGTGGGAAAAAGTTTGCCAGGTAAGAGTCGCGCAATGTCGATGACAAGTCCCCACTTCCCTCCCCCCGTACTGTGTCCTGGTTTTGACAAACGCAAATATGGTCACACTAACCTGTATTCACCTGAATCATGTCTTTTAATCCAACAGAAGTTGAACCGCATCAGCGCACAAGAGCTGATTTTTTTTCTTTGCTTAGTTAATGCAAATTAGCGATGCGGTTTTAAGTTTCATTTCTGTGAGAGTTGCGCAAAACTGAATTAAACACATTATAATAAACGGATTGATGTGGCTCTAGAGTCGTTACGGTTTATATGTCGTAAAGTTTAATTTATTTATGCAGATTAGTAGTGCAGATAGTAATAATAATGATGATCATTTTAATATAAAAAAACTTTAATGATTAATCGATAATCGATCGTTAATTCTTCCGACGATCGATTAAGAAAATTTCATCGAATGCCCATCCCTAGTGTATATACAATTGTGGATATGAATTTCAACATATTTACTTCAAACAATAAATCTACATTTTTCTTAAAGGTGCATAATGTCACTTTTCAGAGGAAGGGCCCATCACGCACTTTCTTTCTTTTTTTCCATTAAACTTTTTCTAGCTCCATAGAGACAAGCATGTGTCAGACCGTCCGCCAGACACTGCACATAGTGCCCATTTAAAGACTGAATAAAAAGTAATTTGAGTGGTTACCCTGGTATATTATTACTATTGAAAATCAGATACAAATTTATTCACTTGTATCAAAACCAGATGCTAATTTGAGCATGTATCAATCCACAAACAAAACAAAAATAAAATAAAATAAAAATCTGAAATAAATACTAACAAATAACAAATAAATTTGACCTTTTATGGAGAGTTTTAGAATGATTTTGAGCTTTCTCAGAAATGGTATAGACCACATGGTAACTTAAAGAAAGTACTATTATTTTCTGTAGAAAAGTACAGTTGACAGCCTGTTGCTTAGTATCAAATCAAGTTCAAAATTTTGGTATCTTAACACTACACTACAATGCATAGTCATAGCTACACATCTAATTTACCTTCCATTTTCCATGTTGTGGTTCAGGTGCAGCAGAGGACTCTAAAGCTGTTCTTGAACCGTGAGCTTAAATCTGAGCTCAGGATGCTGGCTCTCATGATCATGTTTGACGCTAAGCCCTCTACGGCCCTGGTCTCCACGGTGACCGCTCACCTGCTGGAGGAGAGAGACATGCAGGTGGTCAACTTCGCAAACACATACTTTAGGACCCTGTCCAGAGCAATGACACCAGACAACCAGTATCTGTAAGTATACTTGTGCATACACTATTGTAATATTCATATGAGCAGGTTTGTTTTTGGCATTTTGATGCAAACAACATCAGAAAATGTGTCAAACTGTATTTTTTTTTAACAGATCTACTGCTGCCAGTGTTGCTGTGAAAATCTTGGCCCCGAAATTTGGTTGCCTGAGCTACCTCGGCAGTAGAGCAGTACGCATGGACTGGTTCCACGGTATGTTTACAAACACTATGACCTTCTGCTTGATGGAGTTTATGATGTTATTAGTTAAGGTCACCTATTATAAAAAAAAAGTAGGTTAATCTCAATAAACCCCTTTCAATGAACATTATTATAAAAACATGAGCTGCAATAAATAAGAAGCATAATGATAAACAGAAGTAGTTAGTATTATTAGAAGTAAATTTTTCAAAAACTAAATTTATGGAAATGCTTCTTGCTAATTCAAAGAAAAGGTACACACCATAATGCTTAAACTGTTCTTAAATGCAGATGACTTCCTGATTGGTACCGCCGCTGAGGCCTTCATACTGAAAAGAGCTTCACAGATCATCCCAGCTGAAATGATGGTGAAATGGAACTTTTATTTCATCGGGAGGATCCTGCAGCTGGTGGAGGTACGCCAAAATCTAGTGACAAGCAGCTAACCACAACATCATACACCATCCAAATATTTTCCTTCATTTCTCAAGTTGGGTATCCGCCCAGAGGGACTGAGAGATCTGTTCGGTGCCAGCATCGAAGGATTTAGAGGAGATCTGAGCATGACTGACTTCCAGGCTATTTTTAATGTTGTAAGTATTTGAAATGTAAAAAAGTACAACCCTCGTGTATTTGTTTATCTCACAAAGTGTAATGATCTTGCAGCTCAAAAAGTGGGAAACACTGCCAAATGACAAGCCTTTGTTGAGTGTTTATACACGTGCATCAGGACAGGAGTTTTACTTCAGTGATCTAAACAAGGACTTTGTGGAGTGGATGATGAGGGTAAGGTCACACAGTGAGATTATCTATGGTACAACAACAATGGTTAAAAAATCAAATGCTATCCAATGTTAGTGTATGAAAATAATATGGAACCGGGGATGAATAAGGCCACAACACCTTAAGAATGCCTGATCTCATTTGTGTGAGTGATGGTCGGAGAGGCCAATTGGCAGCCTGCCTCCATCACTCTATACTGTCTATACATAGTGCATAACACAATATGAATTATTTTTATGTGTGGTGTGGACTGAATGAATAATGCACAAAACTAAAACTTTGAATATCTGGAGACTATATAAGAGCCTTAAAGCCTTTTCCTGTGTATCAAAATTGAGCTTGAAATTTTGCAAACTCTACTTTACAATGAAAAATTCTTACTTACGGACATAACTGAGTACACATATATTTTTTTCAATGACCATCTCTAGGCACTCAGCCCATCTGCAGGAAAAGACAGTTTTGTGTGGAGAATGATTGAGCAGCTAATCCAAGGCTTCTCATGGCATGGAGTCCTGCCATTCCTGACTGTTGAAGCTCGCTATATCCAAGCCACAACCCTTGGTCTCCCACTCGAGATCAGCAAATACTACCATGTTGTAAACAGCCTCTCAGTCAATGGTAAGATCTTCATAGCAAAGCAAAATAGGTCAGGTATTGGTAAACATTATTACTATGTCTTTCATTTGTTTTATTTAACAAAGCTCAAGCTGCATTGAACCAACAAGCAGCTCAGAATGTTGGAGAGTTGCTTTCTTCAGAGACTACAGTGAAGACAGATGGCTTCATTGGGTAAATAGAGCAAAGTCCATCGTATAAGAAATCAGCCTGAAGAAAAGCAAAGCAAATATTGGAGTGCATTATCTGTCCTTTTGTAGATACACCAAGAATTTCTGGCTTTTCTACGGCATCAACACTGACTTATTCCAGTCCGCTGTTGAGATTAAGACCATAAATCCTGTTGCTATCCCATGGAATTTTGTTGCAAAGATCAATATCCGTGAGTGGAAAGTTGAACTTGAGATCCCTCAAAGCAACAGAGAGTTTGAAGTCTTCTCTTTCAGGTGATATTTCTTACACACTGTTCAAGCATTACAACAATGATTTTTTATTATATTTATCGATATTCTTGGAAAGATGAAATTAAGGGGTATTATAAAGTTATATTTTTTGTTCTTCAAATAGTTCCAATGCATATGCCATCTCAAGGAACATCATTAACCCAGAAGCAGCTAAAAAGATCCCAGTTTTTCCCAACGAGCAGAATGTGAACCAAATAAATAACCCTAAGGTAAAACATTCTGGGAAGAGAAATCACATACCCCCTCTCCCTCACCAGAAAAAAAATTACACAATGCTTTAACAGATTTTTGAAGCTGCTTAATAGTGATTAATGGTAAATAAATGGTGCATATTCTGTCTTGTAGCCTAATAAGTGGAATCCAGTTGTAAACATGTGCTCCAAGAGCGCCGCCTATGGAGTATCCCTGTGCTTAGAGTACGAGCTGAAGCGAGAGTTCTGCCAGGAGGAGTACCCCTTGTACTACTTCCTCGGGTTCACACACGTTGCCTTCAAAGTAGTACCAGGTATGGCAACTTACATAGTATATATCAGAAAATGTGTATCAGAAAAAGTAGAATGACATACTCAAAAGTTCTTAAAATTAACAAACTGATCAGATAAAGTCAAATGAGACGATTACTATAGCTAATACTACATGCACTACAGTGAAATCTTCTCAGAGCACACATATAACTGCATTTGTTACAAGACATAGATTTTATTGATCCAGAAGCAAAGAACAACAACTAGGCTAATAACTACAGCGACTGTAATTATTATATAGTACAGTAGTTCAATGGACATAACTAATAACAGTTACTCCTTAGAGTAAACAGGATAGGGTGTGTTAGTTTCAGTGTAGTTATCTCCTCCCTTCAGGCAGATATTTCAGGCAGTGACTTATCAGAACATTGTTAGAACTAAAGAAGCAACTTAGATGAGGGGAAAAATACATTCTGGAATTAAAATTAGTTTTTCCATGCTAGCACAGTTAAAAATGTGCAATCTAAATAAATACTGTATAACATATGTGTAATAAACGTAAATATGTATTAACAATGTTGGTTGGCATGTTTCAGTCCGACAAACTTCAGCTGATGAGAAGATCCTTGTGGAGATTAACGCAGCCCCAGACACAGTTGCAATGAATGTACGCCAGCTCCTTGCCAATCTGAGAACAATGTCCAAGGTGTGATCAGGTTTACCTCTCACTGTGCTGGACTCAGACCGTATAAAGATAATAATAATACACTGTCTACTGCAGTCACATCCATTGATCTCTTTTCCACTGTGTTTTCAGGAAGGCCGTCAATCAAGCACCAGCGCATCTCAAGAGCAGCAGGACAGACAATCAAGGGTCAGTTATGAACAATATCGAGCCACAATTAGAAATATGTACAAGAAATGGTTAGTAAGTCAATTACAAATGTGGTGAATTTTAGAGCCTTAAACTAAGGTAGGAATGGTTCGATTAGGAAGTATAGCCAGTTCTTAGTTTCATAACAGTAACATATTTCAAATAAGGTCAGACGTGGGCTATCAATCATTGAGAAAATTCACATTTGGATTTGTACATATAAAAGGAAGGGTCTGGCATATGTTGTTATCTCATATGAAGTATTACACAGTTCTGACCAAACTTGAGTGAGATCTCTTGCCACACCTGGAATCTAAACTTACAAATTAAACTGATGCTGTTAATGTTCTATTATGATGATTATTATTATTATTTTTATGTTGTTTTATTTAATTTGCATGCTGTCAGAGCCTTAAATGATTGACAGTGGAGGTAATAAAATCTTGCCCATGCACCCATAGGGCATGGAGGCTCCACCTGTGCCTGTGCTGAACTTCAAAGTGCTGGCAGTGAGCAGCAGTCAGAAGGCCGTGGGTTACGAAGCCTCCTTCTACTACACGCCTGCGGAGGAGGGCCAGAGCACTCAGCTCATCGTCAGCCAGGTGGGAGAGGCCACCAACTGGAAGATGTGTGTGGACACTGCTGTGGCTGCAGTGGCTAGGAGCCAATCCAGAGCAAAGCTGTTTAAGGTATTGTCCCTTCCCACCTGCATCGCTAGTTTAGCAATTAGCAGTCAACGCTGTCAATCAAACCTGTTGCTAGTGCTAGTGGGAGCGATCTTGGTGAAGAAGGCGCCCGATTTGTCTGTCATCAATGTTCATATCTTGATTTATGGACAAAATAGTGAAATAAAAACATCAGGATAGAAAAATTCTGTACACTACTGCTATACACTAAACTATAGCTGAGTATCAGTGTAAACTGAACCACAAAATATTATCCTGTCATTTAGAGAAAGCAGGTGTTTTACAATGCCAGATAAAGTGAATGGATTTTACAGAAGCTCTTTTCAGTAATTCACTTATAAAATGTAACTGTAATACTGTGTTTAAATTAAATCCTACAGGCTCAATAGTGCTAACATTAGAGGTTGAATGTTTGCAAAAGCTGCTTAGATAATGCTTGTATTTGTTCCAGGCTCACGCTGCATGGGGAGCAGAGTGTCAGCCCTACTCTGTGTCTGTGAGGGCCTCTGGCAGCATGAGGGAGCTGCAGGCCGTCTTCCGCTGGGACCAGATGCCAGAGACCATGGCAGCGCAGGGAAGAAGGTAGGTTAGTCTGGAAGAAGAGGAAATGGGCCATTTCAGATGAGTACTTTGAGATGAATAAAAACTGAAAAATGATTTTTGCACCACAGCAGCCGGGGAACAGTATATGACAGGGGGAGTGGTGTCATACATATGCATTGTTAACAGAGCTTTTTACTATTCTCAGAATTGCCAGATACATCCCAGGTATGGCCATTCTTACAGGCTGCACCCAGGAGGAGGACAGAAATGCCACGCAGGAGGTTTCTGCGTCGGTTATTGCTGCTTCAGCAGACAGCATCAATGTGAAGATTAAACTCCCAGAGGTATGGCTGTGAAATATTCTCCTCCTTCATATTTATGCATCAGTCTCTCTTTGCATATATCTCCTCCTGACTGCTGTATTTAGACAAATGTCTCTCCTGCTGTTGCAGCTTACACTGCGCTGTGAGGCTCTGCCTTTTCCAATGGCAGTCTCCACTACAACAGAACAATAAACAGCATTACACAGGCAGAGACACACTGTGCCATGGTAAGGGATTCCACTCACTTTTATGCAAACTGGCACAAAACAAGTCTGAAATCTTTAAAATGTGTTTTTTGTTGTAGGAAGACATTCAAGACCAGATGGAAGATAAAACTGTAAAAAACATATCCCCCATCACACTTGAGTAATGTAACCAGTTTGAAAATGACCAAAAGCACTTAGTTTGATAGATATTTGAATACACACGATTGATCTCCACTGCATTCTGGCTTGTTTGCTCAAAGATTCTATTGTACACCAAATGATTAAAATGCAAAGCAGCTTGTACCTCAGTTTTGCCTGTTGTGTTTTTTTGTTTGTTTGTTTTTTTTCTTCACTTCTTTTTACATTTATCCCCAATTTTCTTTAATCTACCAAATCTAATCTAGATTGTTTTCTGAGATAGACTAATGGTCTGGTGTACTTTTATCTGACAATGATGGCTCCTAATTGCAATGGTAAAACTGATGAAACCATAGGAAACCTTACATTCTACTTTATATTACTCCATATTTGAAATGAACAAGCAACACCTTTTGATAGATGATGCAAGTAACGGGGTGTTTTCTGTTTTTATATCAATTGCAGAGCATAATTTCATTTGCCAGACGCATAAAAGATCCAATTCAATTCAAACTCCTGCCAGCTTTGTCTTTTTATTAGAAAAAAATGCTGTCAGCTGCTCCTTGTTTGGCTTTGATTCAGTGTTACTGGGCATTCTGGGAGCGGTGAAATGGATCATAAAGTCCTTTTTGTCGAGGCGCAGAGAAGCTAACAGAGATGCTAACACAGATGCTAACAGGGGCTAGCTGACCTGCTCTGTTTGCTTGGTCAGACGTCCAACAAAGCATGTTTACAACACACACAGAGTTTCCATGGCATGCACAGGCCTAAAGTTCACTCTGACAAAGTGATGGTGACATTGGCAAACACACTCCAATCCCAACACTATTGGGTGTAAATAAGTTTTGTGTGTATTTAGAATAAACAACAAACAGACGGACGCCTGGTGGAAGAGATGCTAGTGTTACTGTCTAGCAAGCGAGTAACAAGGGGGTATAGGGACTAGTCTATTAAATTGTCCATAATGAGATTTTTTTTTAAAAGGGCATCTTGGTAAATGGTAAAACGATAGAAAAAAATATGATATATGGAATTACAGTAAACACTGGATCTGTTCATTTATAGTAAACATCTGAAATTACTGTTTAACTTCTTAAAAATTAATAACAAAATGTATTTAACTGGGTTCTAAAATAATTGTTGCATGGGCGTGTAAAGATACAACCGTATTTTGTTTCCATTTCCACTTTTATTTAACCTCTAGTTTGTTCAAAAAGATAAAATTGATGCACTGTGAACAAACTAGGATTGACACATGGGCACACAGACACTGCCAAATATCGGCTAAATTTTAGATATCAGACTGATACTGATATCTGACAGACCTTTCAGATTTCGCCAACTGATACTTTGCAGTGACATCACGCTGGGGGTGTTCTACATGAATCTCTATTGGAGGAATGTTCAACAGTTACCATGGTGACAAAATGCAGACATTATCACACACAGACAAAACATTTAAAATTGATTTAAACAATTAATTTGCAATAATCCGTGGTCAATACGGGCATTCATGGTGCTGTGTAGGTGTTTGATTTTCAACAAAACTGAAAAACTGACTAATGCTAGCTATCTTGTAACTACAATGTCCTGTGAGGCAATCTTGTTTAATCAGATTGTGTTAAAATAAAGTTCAGAGTAAGTCTAACTTGAGTAACAGAGCTTCTAACAGAGTAGTACTTTCAGTACTACTCCCCCCCCCAGGAATGTGATGACATCAATTGCAAAGTATCAATACCAATACTGGAACCAATGTATTACCCCATCTGTTACATAAGTCAGACCAACTATCTATATTCACTTTTCTCTTTTTCACCGATTGGACTAGATTATGTAAAATAGCAAGAAGAAGACATCACCATCAAAAGCCAACCACTGTGACTGTGAATTGTAATAGGAACATTATGTTGCGTTTAGTAAAAGCCTCTGAGCAAGTGTGAGGAGAATACTTCACGTGTCATATCTGAGTCTAGGAGCACAATCTGACCTTGTGTTGACGTGACCCGGGAGGAAAAATACACTGACAGGAAAGAATCAATAATTAACCAGGGCGTTTGGAGACGGAGGGAGTGGTCTATGGCTTTTTAGTTCAGCTGAGCGATTCTGATGAGGCTCATTTGGCATAATACAGGAAACTGAACCATATCAGGCAAGCTGTCAGTAGAAAACTATGCACACAGATATTTTGTTATAAACGCTATAAAGAGTCAATGTCTAAATAAATCATGAAGTAAAATGTTTTATAATTATGATTTTATTATCTACCCAAATGGCAATAAGCTGTTTGGTGTTCAGAAAACAGTCAGATTCTATGTAGTGCACATGGTCAAATGTGGACACTAGAGGGCAGTATTTATTAGAAATTCCAATGCACATGGCGTATGACAGTAGTGTTGCCTGGGTTCATAAAAAGGTTATTAAAGCAAATGTTGACACTTTGGTGAAATATATTTTTGGCAATGACAGTGTATGAAAGTGTTTTTGGATGACATTGCTTGACCCGTCCTCCCATCCAAAGACATGTAAGGGTAATTTAAAGGTGCACTATTACTTTTAGGGAGGAGAGTTCGTCACTTGCCAGGAAAGTTTCACAGTATGGCATTAAACCTGCCCCAATTACATGTGCTTTTAGTGATGAAAATAGCCTGACAAACCTGCTTGTTTCCATGTAAACAGTTTGGTGCCATATTGGGGAACATTTTCCTCCACCAGAAAAAGGTAAACAGTGCACCTACAAAATAACTAAAATAAGTTTCCTGAAATACTGAAAGTAGATTGATGTGTTGATTGTGTTGAGACCATAAACTATATAAATGGACATAGCTAACCCGCTGCTTTCCAAATAGGCTGCATTGACTCTGGCACCAATTGACTTTACACTGAAAAAAATTGCACCCCTCTCTCTGTAACTACTCATTATTTTGATTAAAATGTTCGCATTAACCCAATCTCCATGATCCTGGGTTTTTCTATTTTGCTATTTCATCTGTTCTGTTTATCTATAAATTAATATTCCTAATATGGAACTCGCTCCTATAACTGCTAGCCTTGTGAGCTTCATTTGACTGGAGCCAAGGACACAATCCCTTAGTCCACTTCTTTACACAGTCTGATTGAGACAGATGTCATCCTACCCTATAGTGATATAACAATGAACGAATGAATGAATGTGCCATTTTTGGTTTTAATAATGAAACAAATGAACGGGAAAGATGCATTACATAATTTGAACAAAGTAATTCTTGTGATGAACACCTGCTGATACAAAGCAAAGCTCTCTCTTTTTGTTTCATATTTGGTAGAAGCCGAGGGGAGCGAGGGCGTCACGCAGCAGATGTGAGGAGGTGAGACTCATTATCCGCCTGACATTATCTGTGACATTATGGAGTGGGCACACCTTGTCACGGACACTTCACCACTCCCACCGAGGCTCCCGCTGTGCACCCCGCTCGCTCTGCACTCAGCCCCACTCAGCTCCTCTCAGCCAATCATTTCCCCTCACCACAGCTCACCACACCAGGCTGCTCTATGCTGCCGCCACCAGAACAGAGGCACTAACATGTGCCATTTTCTAGTAGGGCCATAGCGTGAATCATCGTTTTCAAAAGGAAATTACATGGAAGTACATAAATGGAGAGTATAACAAGTCAAATTTTACAACAGCAAAAATAAAATAATTAAATGTATGCATCAGACAAGCAGCTAATGACACTAGGCCAAGATAACGGGTCATATCTGTGGAGAGGTGACCCCGCTTACAGTAAGAATGTATGTTTATTAATGCATTTTTGCCAAATGAAAACAAAAGAATTCAATCATGCTAGATAGATTGTTTAATGTCATACTACGGAACATTCCAGACAAAGCAATGCCATAGCCATGGAGACAAGCAACTAATGTATCCTGCACCAGGAAAGTTACATAGAGCATGTTTAAATCCAGCCAGTATTATCTACTTCTCATCACTTGTGTCTGTACATTTGCATCATTGTTGGCTATTCAAAGCAATGATTCCATTCTGAATTTCTTTTTGAGAGGTCACCTTACAAAAAATTAAAAATGAGAAAAATTTGATATTCTTTATGTGCATAGTTTTTGTTCAACAGTATTCAAACTGTGAAAGATATTGTGGTATCTGGTTATTTTGTCTTATGTTGAGATTTAGACAAGTCTTTAGCTAGTGTGACATACTCAGAGATGATAGGACTAATCTTCACTGTTGCGTCACTGTTTTGTAAAACATTACCCATCTTAAACTGAAGTCACAACATTGCAATAAATCCTACATTTCTGAGGCAGATGATTTGTCTGCCTCTTTGAGTTGCAGCACCTGGTCTCTCGGAAAACTGTTTGCATGCTGAGATGGGATCCACCCCCGAGCCATGCTTCAAAACCTCGATTGAAATAAAACTGATACATTATTGACTAAAAGTTTTGAAATGCAGCTGATAAATTTCAAAACAGTCATACCTTCTCACAGATGCTCTTTCCTATTCCTACTGCCACATGAGGTGAACACACGGCTTATAGGTGCACTATGTGTCATTTCTGCTTTGCCTTGAATATTCCCGAGTATTAAATGTAGGAACGTAGAGATGTCACATAAAATGGATTCTTGTGAGTTTTAAGCCACGCTGTAATGCTGTTTCCTCCTAAAAAAAAACACCCTGAGTTGTGTTGGTTTCATTCACACATTCACACCTTTATTCTTAGTCTGTTTACACCTCCAAAGTTCAGAATTATCTGTTTCATCGAGTGATGTCATGTCCTGGTACTTTTGAAGTTAACAGCTATTTTTTACCTTTTGTTCAGTAGATATGGGCAATTCCAGAAAATCCAAATGATTCTAGTGATGGTGTATAAAGTTTAAAAACACAATCAAGCACTTCTTCTGTTATCACATGACATCATAAGGTGGAACAGAGTATTTTCAGTTTGAAAGAAGAACTCCGCCAAATGTGAGCTAGGTTGCCTCTCCACATATCTGAGCTGTAACTCGGTCTGGTAATGTCAACTCCATGGATCAAACTTAATGTAATGTAGAACAAGGCAAACCAAAGACAACTCCATAAAGACAAGCAGGTGGCAGTCCCTCCACCATGAAAGTTACACTGTTCAGCTTTAAATTTAGTTCTAGATAAGTTAAGAATTAA